GGGTGATATTTCGTACATTACATATTAATTGATGGCTGATGAAGTAGATTGAGAGATGCAACTAAGTTAATGAGATAAGATTTAGCGGTGAGGAATGTGGACATAGAGAATTTAAAGGCTCAAAATGTCATCAAAAACCTCATACATGAAATTATAAAATTGATTGTGAACCAACCTTTGAACCTTATTCTCGTCACAATATTTAGCAGCTTCATCTGATGACATATCCGTGAGATTCCTCTCCAAAGCACAGCTGAAAGGAATTATAATCTCACCACCATGCTCTTGCACCCTGGAAATCGAAGGAAACTTCTTAATATGCAGGGTGTGCAGAAGTAGAAAGGATAAGCAGAAAAAAAAAAAAAAAAAAAAAAAAAAAAAAAAAAAAAAATGACAAAAAATTACTCCTGCTTAGAGGAAATAAAGCAAACATTAAATAACTCATGAATAACACAGAAGGCATAAAAAAGTACATTACTGGTAATAATTAAAAAACACCATCAATCCAAGAAGATTGTCCCTTATTATGTACAATGGAAGATTTTAGTGACGGTTTTAGGCGGAAAATTTTCTCGTTAGAGGGGCAAGCTCACACGGGATACGTCATACATACAATGATTTAAATTATCAAGTCAGACGCAACATACCAAGCATGGATCTTTGGAAGAAACTTGTTCTTTTTTCTTTGATAATCTCTCTCATTCATGTTGACCTGCCCCAGATGACAGCCAAAACAGAGACAAGTTACAAGAAAATAGAGATGCTAAATTTCTAAAAAGCGTCAACATGAAGATGAAGACAACGAAAGCATCACATATCAAACTAGATACACAACAGCAACTATAAGGAGTGAGGAAATAATAAACATGCCTCTATTCAACTTATTCTTATATTTGGAGAATTACTAACCATCCCATGAATTTCACCAGCTAAATAACAACTAAATAACTAGTAATTCTGATAAAGAAGCGCTTATTGGTTAATGAAGGGGATCACATTTCTCCTGTTTATGGACTGGGATCCAAGATAGTATTACAGAAACTAAAGTATTGAAACAAAATTGGATCTTCAAGAATAATTACTTGTCATTTGAAGCATCTTACACAAGGGGTAAGATTGAATCCCAACAGATAATGAGGAATTGTTTAGATTGAATCTCAATAGAGAAAATTGAATTTCTGCAGAATAATTTTTCAGTCATGAGAAACACCCAATTAGATCTTGACTATACTGAAGTCGATAGAAAGTATCACAGAATTAGATTGTTCACCAACGGAAGAAAGCATTTTGTCATTTCCAAAATTTTCATTTTCTAAAGATATTATGTTACTCACCAAGTATACAACAGGCTTTGCGGTGAGCAGCTGAAAAGTATTTAAGACCTCAACATCAGCAGCCTTCCAGTCCACGAGACGGACATCTTTTCCCTCGTCCAAAGATGCTTTAACCTTGGATATCCAAAAACAATCAATTAGTAATATTCAAAATCAAAATCATTACAAACAAGTAAATGATGAGCGCTAATCCGTGGCCAATGGCAAAAGCATTTAAGATACACCAGCTTTCATAAACCTTAAAGGAATGAAATAAAATGGATACAAACCCTTTGGCATAACTCATGCTCGATTTTAAGTTGCTTGTCATTGCTCCTCTTCATGCTCTTCTCGAGATCTTCAATCCTCCTCTCCATGAACTCGATATCCTACGAGCCAAGCCAGTTCAGAAATCATGACAAATTCACAACTCCTACAACCATTTTTACATTAAAACAATTCTGTGCGTACCAATACCTTTCAGGCTATCACTCACCCACATGACAAAAGTAACCATGAAGACAGAAGTAGAATCAAACTTTACCTTGAGTCGCAATTCTGCAGATATAACCTCCAGATCCCTCACAGGGTCTACCGAATCATCGACATGAATAATATCAGGATCTTCAAATGCACCTACAGAAACCAACAATTTTAAGCAAGGGTGTCTGGGAAAAACACACGGTTTCGGTTTCTTTCAAAAAGTAAGAGAATAACAATAGAACATGTCAAATGACCTTAGCAGGAAAAAAGTAATAAAAAGAGTAACATAGCACAAAGCATGACGTGTAAAGAGAAATGTTTATAACTAGTGACCGGAACAACACTAGTATAAAACCTGCATACAACTTTCTTTTGTAATAAAAAATAACTCTATCATCAATAACCGTAAGGTCATGCATGCAGTTTTATGGTCTTATCAGCAACAAGAGAAGCAATAAGAGAAGAAAACTGTGATCATTAACTTACGTAAAACATGAAAGATCCCATCAACAGCACGGATATGAGATAGGAAATTGTTTCCCAGTCCTTGACCTTCATGTGCACCACGAACAAGCCCAGCGATGTCGTGGATTTCCAAAAAGGCCGACACCTATCCTCCCACAGATAAAAATTATCACTAAAATTAGCAGGCACTAGAGTTAAATAAAGCAGCACCACATATCACATAGCATAATCACCCAATATAGAAAATCAGGGACCAAGGAACAAAAATACCTCGCTCTTCGGCTTGTATAGCTGACAAAGCCATTCAAATCGCTCATCTGGAACATTCACGCGAGCCTCATTAGGCTCAATGGTGCAGAATGGGAAGTTCTCAGCTGGAATAGACAGTTTGGTGAGCGTGTTGAAAAGGGTCGACTTCCCAACATTCGGCAATCCAACCTGAAAATCCGCTAAAAAAACTCAATAACAACATAGTTTGCAGTGTTCCATACGAGACTAGAATCGATAACGCTTTCAGAAAATTTTGGCAACACAACCTGAACATCTGCTCAACTCAATAACAACAAAATTGCAGTATTCCCGTAAGAGACTATAATCAACAATGCCATCCAGCACTTGCTAAAACTAAAATGACTGGTTGACATCCAAACGAAGAAACAAACACACAAGAACAAGAAACCTTACGATTCCAATTTTGAGATGAGACGAGAAGCGTCCGAGGATTGGCCTCTCGGCCGGCGCTTCCTTCGATTTTCCAGCTTTAGGGGGCATTTTGACTGTATATTCGTCTTCTCACCGCCTTCCTCGTTCAGATTTCTCCAAGTTAAAAGAGAACAGAATGCAGGCGACAAATAGTGATCGAGGGGACGGGTAGGGTTCTAGGGTTTCATTGCTCACTACTCAGCAGCTTCCTTAATAAGCTAACGGGTTAACACACGAGTCGCGAACGAACCAATAAGGCTAACGCTAACGGGTTAACCCAGGAGTCCCGACACGAACGTCCCAATAAGGCAGCTGTTTTTTTTTTTTACAGGTACCTTCCGATTCCACAGGAGAACCGATTAATCCAGAATCGAGGCGAGTAGGACCACAATGGCGGCAAAGCTCTCCGAATAAGGCAGCTGTTAGGGGTAACAAGCATGAGACTTTTTAAGAAAATTTATATTTCAATCACTTAAATTTTAAATAATAATTTGCATAATTGATAGTATTTATTTTCATCAAAATACTTTTAAAAGATTCATAATTATTTTTCAAAACACTTTTATAAGATTCACAATTATTTGTCTGACTCAAAACTGGTTTCATAAAAAATTAAAATATAAATATAATTTACTATAACAAATAACAGTAATAGTAATAATGTTGAACCCCGGTTCAAGTTTACAAGATATTAATTTTGTGAATCTACGGTTCTGAATCCGGTTCAAATAGGAAACGGTAGACATACTATGTCATTACTTGTTATTATTATTATTATTATTATTATTCAATTTTTTTCTAAAATTCAGTTATTGGGACGGGCTGGATCGAACCTAACGAAGAAACGTTGGATCTCTTTCATCCAACGGTGAAAAAGATCCAATGAACCATTTTTTTGGTCTTTTTTTTTAATTTCAAATTGGTTCGATTTGAAATAGACGAGCAATTTTGCATCGAGAACAGTCAATTCAGTGAACATGCATGTATATATATCAGGCCAATTCCGATTCACGTAAAATGCGAACCTGGACGGCCTAGCAAGAGTGTTGTGGCACTTCTTCTGACTCTCGCGAATCGGAACATGTCCGAAATCCGATTTTGGCCATGTCTATAATCCTCAACACAAATTTACTTGAGTGAATTTAACAATTATGCTTTATTTGTCGTGTTTTTAATAAAAATAAAAAAAATATATTAAAAAGTACCATATTTTTTAATAAAAATATTTGTATTTTTTTGGGAAAAAATATGACTGCGTGTTGGACATGTCATGCCTGTTAGGTTGTTGCACATACTGCAATAATTATTTTTATTGTATATTAATATCGATTTTTTAATATTATTATGTAAGATACTAATAATTTTATACGATATTTTTTATTTTGGTTTGAAAAATGACTTTAAATGTAACTTGTAAAGATAGTTGGAATTATATTTTTATCGAATATAAAAGAGGAAATACAAGTTAAAAAGTTATATTTTTTTTTTTTTAAAAAAGAAGAAAACATATAGCTAAAAATTGATATGAATTAAATAATAAAAGAACTGTTGGGTAATATCCGAGCTTGTGTATGTAGCAATACATGCAAACATGATTTTTTGCAAGTAATCATACCAAGCGTGTGAATCTACCAGAGGAAAAGAGATGGACAAAAACATAAACCAAAGCCTGCTTCTTTCACGAATTTAATCTAACTAATGGAAAATCAGATTTACAAGTAGTCGTATCTCGTATGCATGAAAATAAACGCTACGAAACCGGGTGAGTGTGATTATAGAAACAAAAACTCGACCCCATCTTTTGGTCATAAATATTCTACGGTTCAGCTTTACAGAGCAAAAATGGCTCTTGCTTTGCCAAGTTTTCCAGTTCAGCAGCCACCACAGATCGACAAGTGGCACATACACAGCCGAGCCCACATTCGAAACCCAAGTCTCTATAGGCACGATAACAGGTCCAAAAGATTCACGTTCATCTGAAGTGTACGTTCACATATTGAGATTACATAAGCTTAGTAGTAAGTACAGCATTGTGATCGGATTATGAAGACTGAAATTCAAAAAGGGATTCAAAATCTATGGCCTTCGAATAGCTCTGATTTGAACTCCATTTAATTTGATGTTCTTGTTCAGGTATAATGCAGATGAGAAATGCTCACCTACCCATGGTAGGCACATGTTAATATGCCCACCGTGTATGTGGCATGCACTCATTGGTGATGTTAATATGTTTAAAAAAATACATCACCAATGAATGCATGCCACCTACGCGGTGGGCATATTAACATGTGCCCACCGTGGGTAGGGGAGCATGTCTATAATGCAGATATGTGAAAGTTTCTAGTACATTACAAGCTGTAGCTTTCCATTTTTTTTATTTCTTTTTACGGTTGTTGTTTACACATACTGAAAAAATCAATCTACAAGAATATAGGGTTTATAAATATTTAGTATAAACAAAGCGTATGAGGTGTGTCACACGTGTTTAGCTTGTGATCGTGATTTGAGAGAAGGCGTGAAGATGTAAGATTTGAGATCTAACTTGAAGTCAAATGATAAACTTACCGCAAAGGAGTTGATCACAAAAGCACAGTAGAGTCTCCCCTCAATTCCCTCCTCACCAGCTCAAGAATCTCAATAATCTGCATGGACGTATTAAATATTAACTTGATATGGCTGAATAGAACAATTGTCACTTGTAAGTAGAAAATAAATGTGGTGGTGGTTAAAAGGCTTAATTTTGAGACAAAGTTCCAGGAGGATTATACAACTTACCCCCGGATAATGCTTTAGTACTGGAGAATAGTGATCAAGAGCAATGAATATTTTATTCAGTAATTTCAACAGATCATCAACTTCATCACCTAAAACATCAACCTGAAACAAGGAAAATCTAAGTTAAGAAAGCTAGCAAAACGTCAGAACAGTCGATTGCGAACACAAGACTGAAAAACTAACAACAAAACATGTTTACATTTGGGTTAATCAGAATAAATCCTCAAAGGGTAATTTTCAACTTACAAGATAAATGTAAAAGAAGCAAAAGTGTCCTGATCAGAGCATTATGTACACTTAAATCCCACTCTCAAAATATACACCTATACACCTTCTATCAGTGTATCTCTAACACTTCAATTCCATTCTCAAAAAATATACCTCCAAAATAACGTATCGAATTTCTAATCATACATCTCAAAATGAGACGTAAAGCAATCAGGCTCAACATTTCTATAATTTTTTGAATTTAAGATTCAGACAGAAACCAACATGCAATGGCAATTCTCATTGCTTTACAATAGCTGATAAGCTGAAGCATATTCATATAAAGCAAGATGTAAGCATGATCGTAGCAATATTATGAGAATAAAGAGAAAGTTCTTATAAACCTCAGCCTCGGCCTTATGGAGATTTGCAGTTTTTAAATCCAGTCTTTGTTTGTACATCAGTTCTCTTCTCCTAAGATCGGTAACCATCTTGGTAAGAGCTTTCAAGTGAGAAGTAGTGTCTTCAAACCTGCATGAAAGTGATGGATCCAGTAAACAACCAAGATTTTAAAATAATATGCCTTAGAAAAAAAAAATATGTAATTTAAAATGTATTGCTTTCAAAAGGGATTTGAATAAATAATTAATATGCATATATATAAGAAAACTGGGTTTGTTTGTAGAATTGGAGGGGGAGGGGGAACTAAACGGAAAAATAGGCACTAGTTCAAGAAATCACGAAAGTAATGCAGATTATTCAACAACTGTAACTAGATTTTTTGCATGCTTAAGCTGTTAAGCATAAGATTTAAAGATTATACCTTAAACTATTCTTTTGGAATGCCCCTGATATTCTCCATTCGAAATCATTAAACAAATTTAAGAGTTCACTGACAGCCAGTTCCGTTTCCTTTTTCAGTTTCTCATCTCTAAATTCACTTAATACGAACTTATCATGCAATTCTTGGGTTAGAGTAACTGCATTGTCCCTCTCTTTTTTCGTTTCTGTTAAATGCTCTTTAGTCTGGTCAAGCTCTTGTTGAAGTTTACACATTTCCATTTTATTTACTTCAATCTGCTCCATTGCCTCAAAACATTGAGACTTCCATAATTCTAAGTCCCTGTTGCTCTCGGTAACCATTGCCTCTAGACAACTCGCATGTTGTCTTAAATTACTTAGCTCTCGAGAATCTAGCTCAAATTCCGCTAAATGCTCTTTAGTCTGGTCAAGCTCTTGTTGAAGTTTACACATTTCCATTTTATTTACTTCAATCTGCTCCATTGCCTCAAAACATTGAGACTTCCATAATTCTAAGTCCCTGTTGCTCTCGGTAACCATTGCCTCCAGACAACTTGCATGTTGTCTTAAATTACTTAGCTCTCGAGAAGCTAGCTCAAATTCCGCCCGCTCTTTAGACCATGGAAACGATAAATCCATTGCTAACTTTTCTTGATCTTGGAGAGCTGTTCTCAAATCTTGTATATCCTGCTTTAATTTCTCATTCTCTTCAACCTCTAGTAGGAATTCATTTTCCTTTTCACGAGCTTCAGTTTCCAAACAAATCCTCATTTGTTTGTCAATAAGAGCTTCCTTATGCAAGTCATTGATCAGACGCTCAGCACCTATGATAGCCTCTGTGAGTATCAACCCACTCAATCCTTGAATTAGATATGATTCAATATCCGAATCTTCAATTTCATCTCTGTTCGCTGTTTCAGCTTCATGGGCCATAAGTAATTCCAATCCTGAATCTTCAGAGTTGCACCTCATCTGTGCAAACTGCTCCCTGAGAACAAAGTTATACACTTCTTCAGCGAATGAAGTTTCAATACGTGAATCATCCACAGCTGATTTGAGATTTTCCACAAGCTTTAGCATGTTCTCCTCAGCCAAAGAATGATGCAATAGTTCTTCAGCAGCACCTAAAATCTGTGCTTTCAAACACTTCACCTCATTTTCTCTGTCATTCACGGAGTTTCTCAGTCGACAGTTTTCAAGGAGAAGGCTATCTAGCCTGAGCTTCAGTTTCTCTACGCTTTCAAAATTTTGGAGCAGAGCAGGAAATCTTTCATTCTCCACAAGAAAATTCTCCAGCTTTGAAATAATCTCTGGAATCTTCCTCCTTAGCACATCTAACTCTTCGTCTTTTTTGTGTGTCACTGTCACAGGGGACCCCCTCTCTTTGAGATTCAGGTATTCTCGTCTCATACTAAAATATTTTTCAGTCTCCCTCGCTAGAACCGACTCGTGGTCTCTTTTCAGCTTAGTTATAATGTCATTAAAATGATCAACCAATTCTTCCTTTTCCATGTGATTGAGCTGCTGAAAGTCATAGCTCTCAACTACATGAATGATGGATTCATCAAACGTACCATTTTCACCACAAAACGAGGCCCGTGGAGAAACATGATTAACAAAGCCCTTCTGGTGCAAATGGTCCAAATCTTGTGAAACCAGCATTGTTTCGTGTGCAGAAAGTGACTGCTGAATTCCATCCAAACGGGTCACTAAACCAGATATATCATTGAATTTTTCAAGACAATTAACTGCCTGGATCACATGCAAGTGGGCATTTGGTTCCAACAAGTTCTCCTCTTGAAGACTCCGAATTACACTCTGCATCACAATATCCTCAAGTGTTGTTAATATCTCCATATCATGATGCGACTCACAAAGTGAGGCTTCGGATGACAGTAATAGGTCTTCCATTTTCGAGCAAACAGAGTTAATTGCTGTACTCAGGCTTTCCAGCATCTTATCAACACACATCCAGTTTTTTTCCTGTAAAATCCCACCCAACCCCAACAACTCAGAACCTGAACCAACCTTCTTCATATAATTACCTCCCCTCGCGCAACCAACTTCCTTCTTGGCCTTCATGAATTGCTCGTCTGCCAAGACCCTTAAGGCCACCAATTCCTCCCTCATCCGTTCATGCTTCGAGCAAAAATCGGCAACACATTGAAACCTCCCATTCTTCCCCGTTTCAAAAGATTTAGTCCCAAACGGTAACTTCACATCAAACTTCCCTGCAACCATCTTAGATGATCGAAAATACTCCTTCAAACAGGCTAACTCCATTTCCTTCACAGCAATCCTTTCAGCCGACTCTTGTTCGACTGCAAACACCATTCCCTTGATAACAGAATCACTGACCATACGTGAAACTACCAGCCGATCATTGATATCGTCCCAGTACTCTTCGAAACCCTCCAAAAGCACATCAGCTATTTCCCCTTTCTCCTCTTCATCAACAGCCACGTGTGCTGTTCCATTTTCATTATATTGATGTTCTAACCCATTTCCATTGGCAACAACAACAGAATCCCCATTTGAAACTCCATGATGAACCATCACCTCTTGGCTCTCCATATCACATACAGTTTACCTATAAGTAAAACCAAAACCCAAAAATGAAAAACCAACAGAATTAACTGGAAACAGATTGAGAAGAAACACATACTGCAAAATACAAAAGGGACTCACGAACCATTCAAATACTACGCACAAGAAGTTCACACATGCAAAAAGACCCAAAAAAGAAGAAGATGAGATGAACAAGCTTGCAGACTCACCAATAATGTTTCTTTGTTGAACTCAATTTACAGTCCAAAGCACGCGCAATTGCCTGGCGCTTAGCTTGACAACTTCTGCTACTTAACCAGCTTCCATTTTTTAAATCCAGCTATGAATTTCAGTTTCTAGGGTTTTTTGGTAAGTGAAACTTCTTGAGAAGATGAACGAATTTTGGCCGATGGAAAGAGCGGGAGTGAGTACATTAATGAGGCCTCATTAACACGTCACTAGTACGTGGCCCGCACGGACAAATAATATTACGATTGTATTATAAATTAAAAATATATATACGAGAAATGTTTAACTACCCACGGTGGACACATGTTAATATGTCCACCGCATAGGTGGCATGCACTCATTGGTGATATATTTTTTTAAACATATTAATATCACCAATGAGTGAATGTCACCTATGCGGTGGGCTAGTGGCGAAACCAGTCGGTCATCTCGGGGAGGGCCCAGTTTGCCGCGGCGCACCACCCCTACTCCGGCCATCCCGCGGCGTACCACCCCCACTCCGGCATCGGAAGGACACTCAAAGGGCTTTTGTGGACGCTCTAAAAAAAATTCGCAATATATAAAGGAATAATCTAGAGATTTTTCAAAAATCAAACTAAGTCCGAAATTAAACTGGTATACTTAAACTGAATTGTTTTAACTCGAAAATTACTCGAATTTATACTAATAGAAATCTCAGACTCAATTATAATAATAATCAAGAATTATACCTCCTTTTGAATAGACGAAAAATTGAAAATTTGAGAAAACGAAGCATCGAACGATCGAACTCGTCCTCGACAAATTTGCTCTTTTTGATACTATTTAACGCATAAATTCAAACTCCCATAATAAATGCTTGGAATTTCAAAAAATGCGAAATTTGTCCGTATGGAATTGTGCTTGAATTGTCTACACGCTCCAACTCGATTCTCGTTAAACCGAGGTCACACGCAACCTTACGGAACCCGCAAAACGGCTTTATATTCTTCTATTATGCGCACTCGACTTCGAGCTTCTCAAAATAAATGTTCGAAACTTCGAAACGTGAAATAAATTTTACGAACGGCTTCTACTGTTCTCGTGCTTTCAAGAAAGCACTCCCGCTAATTTTCAGCACGCCTAACGAGGGTCGATGGTTACCCGAAGTCTAGACATGAAAATGACAATAAAATCACCGTCACTGCCATTTTTCTCTCAACTTCGGGCTACCCAAAATAAATGATCGAGACTTCAAAATCATAAATCGATGCCACCAACGCACTCTCCGCTTCCCGTACTTTCATAAAAGCATTATTCGGTAATGATCGACTCGGCTTTTGAGTCCCGTCGATACACCGCAAGTCGGCTAATTAACCAACTCAAAATATAATAAAAATGAAAAAATTATTAAATTCTGTTGCTGTTATAGTTTTCCTTGTCCCAAAACCAGGATCCCGTTTCGGGGAGGGCCCAATTTGCCTTTAAAAAAAATTTCACGACAAAACCGGTGCCGCTCCTCCGGCCATGTATGTACCGCATGAAACCGGGGAGGGCCCAACATGCGCTCAAAGGAAAATATTCCAGTTCCAACAAAATCCTTCACCCCTAGTTTATTATTATTATTTTTTTGGAGGGGTCGGCGCCTCTCCGACCCCTCACATAGTTTCGCCACTGCGGTGAGCAAATTAACATGTGCTCACGGTAGGTAGGAGAGCATTTCTAATATATATATTATATAAAAAACATTAATTATAATTTACCTATCGTTTTCAAAATCGAACCGGACCAGACAGTTCAATCAAATGTATCAGGAATCGCTTTATCAACCAATTCGATTCACTTTGATGAATGTTTCCTAGTGAATCGCTGCTCGGATTGATAATATTAGTACGGACTTTTAAATAACTTTTTTAATGTTTCTTAATATAAATTAAGTACATATTTAAATAAATAGAAATTTATAAATTATTTATCAGTTAGTTTAAACTTTGAAAATTTTAAAATTATTAAGATATTTAATTAATATTTTTTATATAAATTTATTACAAAAAGTATTGTATATGCATATATTAAAATATTACTAAATTAAATTTTGGTGAATACTATAAATTATTGAATAAATAACTTGATCGGTTTGAAAGCGGTCCTCTGAGAACCGTGGATTTACCGTATATTATTTAGTAGCCATGTAATATCATATTGTTCACATAAATATTAATAAAATAATATATAAATGTTTGTAAATCTTTTAAACATGTTGTCATAAAGCATTTAATATGGTTTTTTGTATGTACACATTGGTTTTGATTGGTTGATATTGACATTTAGATATAAATAAATAGATCCTCACAAAACACACATTATCTTAAAATCCTCTCCAAATACTAGCAAAACTTAATTATGTTCACCAAGAAGAAAAAACACCATACATTACAAAATTTTAACAGAAGACCAAAACAAAACCCCCAAAAAAAAGAGAGAGAGAGAGAGAGAGAGAGAGAGAGAGAGAGAGAGAGAGAGAGAGAGAGAGAGAGAGAGAGAGAGAAATACATTTATACATATTACTTATACAGACCTAGTCCACTAACATTGATGAAGTGGGACCCACTCCAGCTCGAGCTCGACCTCTCCCGACTCGACATTCTGAAGCCTGAGCCAGAGCTCCTGCTTCACCTTCCCCCCAACGATATTCACGGTGGCATCCTCTATAAGGGCATTATCGTAAGATTTCAGCCATTTCCCGATCTGCATGTCCCCGAACATGCCAGCATCTCCGAACGCAATTGCAGAAGTTATCATCGGCTGTATATCTATCTCCGCCTCTCCCATTATGTCGTCAGCAGAAAACATGTCGTGATCATACACTTGCTGTGTGTTTCGATAATTAAGAAAGAAAAAAAGAATAACAAATAATATTTTTTATTTTTATTTATTAATATTGTTAGAAAGAAGCAGCGGAAAAATGAGCCAATACTGAATGAATAAATGAAGTGTCTTTGGTCGATCATAATGTGTTTTTTTTTTACCAGTTTAATCGAGCTATAGTTTCCCGGGACATCGAGCTTCAGTTCCTCGTTCCAGATGGGATTCAAGTTGCTGTTAACGACACTGGTTCTCACTTGCTAGGAACACAAAAGAGTCGAAGTTTGATCAGATTTGAAAATCTAACACTATCCACAAATCCTTGTGTGAGACGGTCTAATCGTTAGGTGAGTCGACTCGTCATGCATTTTTGACAAAAAATGAATACATATGCTATGAAATGTCATATTTTTGTGTTGTGTTGATTTCTAAAGTATAACATTACAGCTTGTTAATGCATATCTGTTAAATATGTATCGCGACCGCCCAACGGTTAGGCCTGACTAACAATCGATTTAACAACCATTGGTGCTAAATTCTCAGATGGTTTTTTTTTTTTTTTTTTAATGATTCTAAACTGCCCCCAGATTCCGATTTCCCATTTAAATTATCTACTAGTATTCATCCTGTGCATATGCACACACAAAAAAAAAAAAAATATTTATTATATGTATGCATACAATATATAAAACTTTTTTTTTCGGTACAACAACATATAAAACTTTATATTAGATAATGGATGCATTACATTTTAAATTTTGACTATATGCAAATGTATAATGTGAATAAAATTTATTTTAGTAATTTAGAGGGACCATACATTTAATTAGTTATAAAAGTATTACAATTATTTTTAACGGACAAGATAATATTGATGTTAATATAAATAACTTGAAACAATTGTTTATAATTAGGTAATTTATATTTATTGTGAATTATTATTAGTTTAGCAATATCTATTATATAATATAATAGGAAAAATACATGATTACACTTAATATGATGTATTAATGTGAGAAGTAAAAAATATTAATGTTAAATTTTGTAACCGAAAATGGAGGGAAAAATGTTAGAGGTTTTATTAAATAGGTTTTATTAAATGCTATATGCTAGCAATTATATATATATAGATTCCACTCCCTATTTCACTAGACTGATTGACTGAAGTGTGTAAATACACTCAAACAATATTCGATGAGTAGAGAAAAATATATACTATTGGAAAACAAATACAAAAAACTCTGGTTTAGAAGATGAAACAAACAAATATAAATATATACTAACCTTCTGTCCAAGAGTCAATATAATATATGGATCACTCGATAGCATATCCCGCACAGCTAAATTCGTGCCTTTCAACACTTTTACCTTTAAGGTCCCAACAATATCCGCCAAGTCATTCTGTGATGAAATATGGCATTTTAGCTTCACACGGATTAAAGGAGCTACATGTGATCTTTAAGGTCCGTATTCACTTACCAAGTACATTTTAAGGATGGCATTTGTAAGAAGAAGACAGATTAAAGGAGTTACATGTGATTTTATAAAACTCAATGGGTTCGTTTGAAGTTATGCTAAACCTCATTAGTAAGTTTTGTAATTATTAATCTTAGTGATATAGACATACCCAGTTTGAGCTTGAACTTCGAGCCCTATCCACATTCTTCCTGGATAGACTTGCTTGTAAAGAAGCCTTTTCGGAAGATGAAAGAATACGCAGGCTAGGTTTCAAAAACTCTTGATGCTCGTATTTTGACCTACAAAGAATTAAAGAATAGAAATAAGGGGATGCTTTGATTCATTTTTCTAAAAAAAATAAAAAATCCATCATTTTTAAACAATCACTTTTTTTTAACTCTACTTTAACTCAACCCTATTGTCTTCAACATTATCAATATAATTAAATAATACCAGTCAATCATGCTTACACATTACATCAACTTTAATTCACTGTTCAGCCACTCACATAATTTTAACTAATCATCACTTCACATCATCTCACTCTTACTTTTACATCAAATCAAACTTTAATTATTTTATTTTAAATATTATTTCAATATAACTCAAAATCTCACTAACAACTAATCATACCACTTTTTTTTTTTTTTTCAAAATTAACCATACACATATGTGCAATTAGTGAACCGCAACATGTAAAAACCTCCAACCTGATAAATTTTAAACGTTCTTCATGGGAAGCATCTGGTTTTGGCTTAAACACACCTTCAGGAAGATAAGCCTCGTAAATAGAATTTGCAGATGCATTTCCACCAACCTCAAACATAGCTTCGATTTCATCATCAGACCAGTCGTCTAAAGTAACAGACAAAACCTGCAATTATAAACGAACGAGTGGCCAAAAAAAAAAAAAAA